TGAAGAGTGAGGGTGTGCATTTGCATGTTTATTTGTGTGCGGTCAGTTACAGCAAAAACAAGCAAAATTTGAAAAATGAGATCTGATTGTTTGGCCGGAGCGCAGATAGAAGTGAGGTCTGTGTAACAGAGACAGATGTTTCTACTTTGCTGGGGACAGGCAATTAGAGAAGTTAATGCCTGGCATAAAACATAAATCTGCAGAGAGAGGAAGAGAGAGGGACAGAAGGTGAAGCTGTGGAACTTGGATAAACAAAGTTGGCATTGTGGGAGGGAAACAGAAGAGACTACATCGGCAGTGCCTCTTTATTTGTTTTCCTTACTCTCAGACTATCTCACCTTGACACCTCATGTTCTCAGAATGCTTCTTTCTTTCTCCCAATACAACTTTATCTCAGTCCTCCTGCTCTCACACTGTCCGTCCTTTGTGGCATTGCAGTCTCTCAGATGCAGTGGCAAGCTCAGCTCACAATGTGGCGGTCAGCTCCCTCACATATCTTAGGACTTGCGCCTGCCTCTGCCTGTTTGCCCCTTCTGCTTGCTGCTTATGAAAGTTATAATAGACTTCCCGTCATGCTCATAAAGTAGGGAGCTGTAGATTTATGATCTCATTTAGCTCTGGCTTTACAGCAGCCAGCTCCGGGGTCGGTCTAATGAAACGCCAGAGGAAGTCCATCCTGCAACTCTCGACAGTGATACCACTAGCTCGAATGTCTAATTGGATAATCCCTCTGAACTTTGTAAATCATTAACAACGTAAGGCTTCTGAACACCTTTGTGCTATGAGGGAATTCTCAGGTAATGCCACAAGGTGGTTAGTTTTCATAATGGTTCCGCCTGAACTATGCACATAACTGATATGAATCTGATCTCTACGGTGTGCAGTGTACAGGAGAAAATGTTGGAGTCGCATTTGGTTACGACTTTTTAGCTTAGTAATGGCCACACTCTCTCATCTCATCTCTTCTTCCACTCCCTCAGCAGGGATTTAACTGAAGGTCTCATTCAGCATTGTAGCTGGGCAGCATTTGAACTAAGGTAGAGGAAATTAGAGCCATCTCTCTTTTCCCCGTCAGCTTTTCTCAAACCACAACTCTTCCCTTTCTGCCTATCAGTGTATCAGCGATTCACACTTAAATCGGTTTTCTATTGGGAAGATTGGTTGTGGTTGTGGTTGGAAGACATGCCATCAGTGGATGGTGGGACTTCACAGACCCGAGCTGTCAGATGCGATATCGCTGGAACAGAGGGAACCCTGGGGTGGCGCGAAAAGGGGGCAGGCCAGAAATCTTGAAGAGTAATTTTCACTTTAGTGAGCAAGCCCAATTGATTTTTCATCTCTCTTGCCCCTTTGCGGTTTCCTGTTGTTTTCATTGCCGCTGTCTTCTTCCTTAATGGGCTTTTGCATGGCAGCCATGGCTGTGACAGCTTCAAATCTGGCACTTACATATTCTATTTCATCCCTCACATCTAATGGGTGAATTTCTGGGACAGTGAACTGAACACCTCCTCTCCCCTGAAACCGCCGTCTGTGTCTGGGAGGAGAGGATTATCCCCCAGACCTGAAGTGCCCCCAGCTAGGCGCCACTGATAGCATGATGATGATAGCACAGGTTATGTTATCATCACTACTCAAACACTCTGAGGCCTGACCTGCCTGCAGTATGCAAACATTATTCATTCATTTCAGTCTGTATATCCCGAATATGATTCTGTATAACATTAGATATTGAGGAAGTTGTTTTTCCCACATTAATGAGATATCTGATGGGCGGCATGGTGTGAGCACTATGTTAAATGAACCAATGTCAATGACCCACTCTTCGCTGCAGAGAGGAGACTTAATCATATTTACATAAATTACCCAGTGTTCCAAAACATATTCAAGTTTACTACTTGCACCCCGAGAGATCAGTCACATATGAGTGCTGATATATAGATCTCCCTGCAACAGCTCAGGCACAAAGCATATAGGGACAAAGCACATTTGCATTTAAGAATTAACTCTTCCCTCCTGCTCTCTAAACTGCCACTGTGATGAGAATGGGGAGGTTAGTGCAGAATGGATAGGTGGGTGGTAATGAAATTGGAACTGATTCAAATAAGCTCTTAATTTCAGCCCAGCATTTATGAAACATTAATGAAGAGAGGAGAAGATGTGATGCTGTGAAAACTCCCCGGCTTGCGAAAAGGCACATGAGGAGCGCAGCGTGAGTTTAAACATGTTGGAAAATGAAGAAAGTCTTATGGTAATGGAGCTGACATGCTCCCAATATTACTTTGTTGAATTCTGAACTTCTTGCTTATTACTGCCCACTATGTAACATATCATAAAAAAATCAGTGTGGCGCCAACTATGGCTCCCTTTTAGGCTGATAGCAGTATGAAATATTGATGCCCACTTCTGCATCCATTCGCAAGAATCTTTCTTAACTGAAAGTGACTATCTGGTGCGTAGGCTGACAGCCCCCACATGTATGGATATGAGGTAATTTTATTGAATGCAGGAGGCTGCACATGCCCTCAGAGTGAGTAACATAAGTGGATTCTGCTGTTTGAGGCAAGCTAACCTCCACCTGTTAACACTGCAGGGTAGCGACTGTAATGAGAAGCCGGTGTGCCATGCTGTGGCCTCACGATCCGCTATCAGACACACATTCATAGTACTATGGCAGCCATTGTATATGCTCTCCTACAGTGCTGCAGTAATCATGCGTTACAGCTGCAGGGGTTTCCAAACAAACCCTCTCAGGGGTAGATAGTTGCAGTTTTAAATGCATGCATTATTAAAATCTGTAAAAATCCATTCATGTAAATACTGTACGGTATGATCAAGAATACGCAAATACTGTGTGTGCTGTTCTCGCGTGTACATCTGCAGATCTTTCCAGATACACACTGTCATGACACACGCGCTCATGCACATATGCTGCAATAAATCAGAAGTCCTGACAGTGAGTGAGATGCGGGCAGAGAAGCAGACAGAGGAAAAGTATCTCCCCCTCAGGCAACGGCAGAATGAAATAGACAGTCAGATGCAGTTGAAAGAAATTGGAGGAGGCTCCGCTGTGGAGACTGCCTCTTTTGTCTTGTTTTAACTCCAACTCTGGCCTCTGTAGACCTTGGTCGTCTCTCCACCTAACAGCCGACTGAAGCTGGATTGCCTCAAAGAAGCCAGACTAATGATAAGAAAGGTGCTGACTGACAGAAAAAAAAACTGTGCAAGTCACTGCAGGAGCTGGCTGCACACTGACTCACAAATATGCATCAATATTAAGGATAATTTTATAATAAGTTAGGAAGAGTGCCAGTAAGTTCCATCGTGAGTCATTCATGTGCACGGCAGACTTTCAGTCATACAGAAATATGACTAATGTATGTATGTAATACTGTATGAATAGAGAATGTGAATAGAATATGACTTCTTACTTAGTTTAATTAAATTTAGATGTATTAATTTTAAAAATGTATGAGTCTACTTAAAATACTTGAAAATAATGAAAAAGATAAAATATAAAAGGAATGTATAATGTCATTGTGATGGTCGATATTACAGCATACTTAAGTCACTCATGTAGTCTGTTCACCTCAATTCATTTAGAGTAAGTCAGATTTAAAATTCACTCCTTCTGAGAGTGTGCGGGAGGATGAGGAAAAGGCACTAAGAGCAGAGAGAGGAAGGGGAGTGAGGGGGTGGGGTGCCAAGGGATTGGCAGGAGTGACAAGATGTGACAGTGAGCATATTGGCTTGCAGGGTGGTTGCTACTTTACACTCCAATCACACAGTCCCCCTGTCCCCCAAGACATTTTAATCTGATCCCCTGACCCAAAGAGACGAGAGCACAACACCACTCAGAGGAAAGCAGGAGAGCGGCACAGAGCCGAGCCACAAGATTTTATTTCCAGCCCTTTTCCTTCCACTTATGTGGATGGGTCTTTAATTTTATCACCAAAATGGCTGCTCCTGCTCTCATTACATTTTGCTTTATATGCCGCGTGTGTGTAGGTGCAGTGTGAATGAACGGCTCGTCCTTGCCGGGCCTTCGCGTAAACTGTGTCTACATGTGTGTGTGTGCTCGCAAGCACACAGCACTACTTTTGATTGGATTAGTCAGAGAGAGACATCCATCCTTTCAGCCTCGCCCCTCCTCCACTGGTTACGGGCTGCATTATCGATCCTGAACAGCTCCATTTCCTCTCTGTGTCCAAACTTATTAGATGCTCTGCTTTCACACAGCCTGGCCTGATCCCTCCCTCTTCCTCTTTTCTTTGAAAACCCCCGTTTTCCTCCCATTTGTCTTTGTCTTTCTTCATCCTCCATCGAGCTCTTACTCTATCTCTGTCATGCCGTTGTGTTTTTCATCCCTTTGTGTATTTTCTACCAATGTTCTTGTCTTATCTTAATCTGCACCCATTTCTGCTTATTTTCTCCCTCTGATTCCTCTATCCTCCATCTCTCTCGTCTCCTGTCTGTACTGCTGTGAGTGCCACCTCTGTCAATCACTGCCTTTGCTTTCTCTCTCTCTCTGTTGCTCTCCAGTTAATACTAAAATTAGACTGCGAGTGAGTTTGAGTAGTTGGAGGGATCAATTGCCATTAATTGCCTTTGGGGAAGAGTAACTTTTGACAGGGTTGCAAGAGAGAAAGAGAATGCCATGGAGGAATTATGACTTTGCAGCTAACGTATGGTGACAGAATGGGCACATCTAATCACGATATGGAATGTATTAGATCGTCTTTTTCCCTGCAAACACTTTCTACAACACTTTCAAGTATTAGATAAATTTATTAGTTATGAAATGTTTTATAAGGGAGGAACACTTCTAAGATTACAGTTGATACATGCTGGCAGGAAAAAATATATTTTCTGCCCTCATCCATTTTGAAAAGCCTGCTTAGTAGCAACATGGATAAACAACAGCAGACAGAACCAACCAGTTTCTTCTCTTGCTCTAATATATATATATAATTATATATATATATGTCTCTGTGTTTCTGCAGGCTCTGTACCCAAGCCCAGAGGAGGGCTGGCAGATCTACAGCTCGGCACAGGACGCAGATGGGAAGTGTATCTGTACTGTGGTCGCACCAGCCCAGAACATGTGTAACCGCGACCCACGCAGCAGGCAACTTCGCCAGCTCATGGAGAAGGTGACAGCTGTCAATAACACACTCACTTTGAGACACGACTGTTACCCACGCAGACATGCAAAACTGCCATGCCGCAATGCGCTCGTGTCTTGCGCCGTCTGTCACATACAGGCTGCTGAAGTGAATAGTCTCCTTTACCCCACAGTTGATCAGTCATGCAGGATAATATGACGCTAATGGAAAGACATTGTTGGTCTAATTATTCTTTTTTGAGCAACAGAGCTGCTGAAAGTGATAGTTTGTTTTTTTTTTGAAGTGGGGTTTTATGGGATAATTACCCATAGTCAATGAATTATATACACTAGGTGTCAGTTGGCACGTCCCCAGTTTAGAGAAGCAGGCTGGAGTCAGACACAGAAGCTAAGTAATGTACTGCTGTGGATGGGGGTCGGGAACAAAATGTAACTTAGCCATCTAAAAAATATCAATATCAGTTTAAGTGTGTGCTATGTTGAGAGTTTTTTCAGCCTGTTACCCTTCTGTCAGACAGCCCGTTCCAACGGCTTCAGTTCCCCATCTATACTCCTGTCAAAGCCACCAGACCCCACTGACAAAAACAGCACTTTTAGCTCGCTGGATACAGGAGCTGCTGGTCTACTGCTGCATCAGTAAATTAGTTTGTGTTATTGTGTGACTTTTGTGAATCCGGACTAAACGCCAAAATACACAATAACACAAACAAAAAGACTGATCCAGGCAGCTGTATTCAAGTGGCTCCTGTATTTAAGCAATATTAAATCAAAGTTTTTCTCAATGGACTCTGGCTTTGAAGAGAGCAATAAAACGGCTTCATTTTCTAGTTAGAAATCACTCTCTGACCTTAAAGTAAGGCAGTGAAAATACTCTCAATATAGCATACACTTAAACTGATATTTATTTTGTTAGGTGGGACTTTTTTTAGGTGGCTAAAATACATTTTGATACTGCCCCTAATCACAGCAGTACATTGCTTATCGTCCATGTTGGACTCCAGCCTGTTTCTCCAAAGTGGGGGCGTGATGATTAACATCTACAGCACCCCATTCAACCCCACTTCAAAAAAGGCGAACTGTCCCTTTAAAGTGAATGTAGCATGCATTGCCTTGATAAAAGAAATGTCCTAAACTCACCCATGGAATTGAATTCACTGAGCCTTAGCCTTCTAATGTTTCTTTTGTTAATATAAATCCATTAAATAAGAATTAAGAAAATTAACTGTTTTACAAATCAGTGAAGATGACAAATGCTTTGTTTGCATAGTTACACAGTAAATGCTGCACACACAAAATCTGTTTACTCAGACTTGTGCTCATTCTGCCTTCCTCTAAGTGAAAAATATAAGTCAGCGCTCTTTTTTTGTGAATAATTGTGTCATGTATGACTAGCAAATAAATGTAATGTAATGCGAAAAGTGTGTACACACGCAAAACTCCACTACAGTGTTTCAGCAACAAGACAATAAATCTATGTTTTATTTGCATGGAGTAGTATTGACCTATAGTGCAGTGCATGCAAATGTAATTTCCTGCTAGTGGCAAGCACATAAACACACACAGATCAGGGATGAGAGTACAGGCAAGAGAGGACCTCTGCTTACAAGTGATCTACAGCTGTTTGTTGACTCTCCAGATCTGCAACTGCATTGATTGGTGGTTTGCAGGTTGGCATCTTTCCATTCTTACCCTCTTGTCTTTTCCAAACTAAATAATAAAATGCTGAGAAATAATGTTTAACAGCTTTCACTTGCTTGATGGGCCATGGCAGCTCATTCACAGCAAAGCTGTTTTTTTTTTCTTGTGGGTGCTTAAAACCAGTGAATGAATGAGAGGGTGGATCCACCGAGCGAGTGAAAGCCTGGGAGTAGAGAGGTAGAAAAGAGCGGGTAAGACAGGAGGAGCTGACATTGATGCGGTCTTGTGAGGAGAGATGGAGGTAAATTGAGATGCTGAATCGGCTCTGAGGTCCTGGTGGATCAATGAGACACCTGAATTCACATATTGCAGTCATTCTCATTGAAGTTTGCCTTTTCCCCCGACAGTCTCTGTCTGCTACTGTTTCAAGCATACGTTCATGCAGACAAAATCCACACTCACGCACACTTTAAAAGAAGCATATCCCAACAGAGACAGCGCATTCCGGCTGAGGAAGACACAAACTTGATAAAGCCATCCTGAGTGTTTGTGTTCACCCAGATATGTGAAAGTATAGATGCACTGTCTTTATAAAGATTGTTATATACTGTATGTATGCGCGTAAAGAATGCAGTTTCTGCAGGTTTTTAATAAGCATGCAGAATAAAAAAACACTACATACAATATGATTTGTATATATATGTTATGTGTATGCTTTCTAGTATTGTCAGTGCTGCTTATGTAGCACATAGTCAGTGAGATTGTAGTTTAATGCAGGTTGAATTCCCTACAAGTCTAGAGTACTATACAGTACAGTATGAGGTTGTCAAATGTATCTAAACTTCAATACCTTGTGTTTAAAATAATACAATCTCCATTGTACATTCAATGATAACGAAAGGACTAATGCTATAAAAAAAGCTGTTGGCATGATTGAGATTTTGATTTTTTCCATAGCAGGGCTGTATGCAGGATGTTACTTTAAAAAAAAGAAAAAGTTTTCCTATTTTATGTACCTAGGATGTTCCTTCTTTTTGCCGTGGTATTTAAAAAGGTATTGAGTACTGTTTTTTATACTGGTATTGTATTTAAGTTTAAAATTCTGGTATCATGACAACATTAGTACAGTATGTGGTTGCAACATATTTATCCATGTGGTTGTATAAATATATATCTACCCCAGGGTTTCCCACAAATTCATTTATTTGAGGCCAACCGCAACAATATCAGACCACACTCGCACAGAGAGTAGGCCGACTCTAGGAACAGACAGAGCAGCAGAGCGCCAGAAAGTGAAACCTAAGTGTTTATTAATTCATATAAAAATAGAATGCTCTATTTTTTAGAACTACAGTGCTCTCATTTTAATGCTGTTTACTGTTTTTCTAACCTACTTTAGGTGAAACCAACTGTGTTCCGATGGAGATCTGATCTGATCCGATCAGTGCTGATTGTTCCAAACACAAACTGATCAGCTGGTTAAAGAATTTGACCAGTCAAGCAGCCACTGCAGAAGCAAATGAAAGCAAACTTTCTGTTGCTGCCTTTACACAGGTTAGACACAACAAATAGACAACACTAAAAATAGAGTGCTGACATTCTAAGAAATAGAGTGTTATTTTTCTATATGAATTAATGAACGACTGCTGCTGAGAAAAATAACAAAAACCTAATAAAGAGTTCCACCAGCGCTGCATTCACGGACCAGCAAAAACTTCTGAATTCAGAGAGGGGGCTCAGAGTGATCACAAAGGGAGACTCACACACTCATACACACAAAAACAGAATGTTTGCTGATCAAGCGCATCCCTTGCCCTAACTCTGTGGGAAACATTGTACCCACGCGTGTCTTCAACTCAGGTTAATATGTTAACATTGTTACTTATGCTTTACTTATTTCAAGTGATGTAATCAGCTGCTCATTGGTATTTTCTGCTCATTTTTCTTTTCACTTTTCAACATTGCAAGGTGATCTTGTTTACTGTAGCTGTTGTGAGCCTGTTGGCAGAGTGAAACATAACTTCTAGGTGGGTGGAGAATTAGAATACAGGTGAAAATCGGGTTATCTGGTTTGAAATATGTTCATATTTCTCTGTGAAAATCAGTTAAACATTGAATATAGAAATTAGAAAAAAAAACATGTATAAACCTTTTGAGGCGTGTAAGGATATTATTTTGTTGCGTCTTTGTCGGAGAGGTGTTGATTTCATCTTTCAAGTTTTGAGGGCCCAGTTTGTGTTACCTCTTACAATTCAATACGAAATACAAAAGAAGGCTTCAGAGAATGCCATGAAATGAAATCATCTCCTCTCCGACACTCTCAACAAAAACTGAATATTACAAGCTTTGCAGATATATTATTTATAGTTGTGTTGGACTGAATTACAGTGTGGGTGTTTATGTTATTGTGTCTACCCTCCTCTGTACATGCACACTGCTTGTAAGACGCCAGTTATCGCAGCCAAGTGCTCCCGTCAAATACAGTCCACAGCCGTGCCTAATGAGGACACCTGGGGTCAGCGCTATTTGTGCTGCACACAAGTCAAAAGACTACGTGTCTGTCTGTATGTGCACGCAATAGCACCACGCCCGCTAAGACAGCCTCATTTGAACCCAGAGCATGTGTGGGAATTATTTGAGCGGACCAGATCCACAAAGGCTCTCCCTGACACAGAAAGGCAAGGTTGCACTAACAATGTCAAAACCGCCCTCTGTTCAAAGAATGTAAAGTAGCCTTGTGGAAAAGCCTCTATTCAGCTTTCTGCAAAGGCAGACAAAGCACCATCCAGAGCAGAGCTGACCCTGAAGGACAGTGGTGCGAGAACGCTCACAGCGCAGACTTTAGAGCACCTCATCCCCCTTTGACCTCTCTGTCTGACTGACTGAAATGAGATGAGATAAAATGCAATAGGAGGGCACAGTCGGGCACGCATTTACACACAGACACTTTCGGATTTGGTGCATAGTGAGTCATTACACTAGACACCTGCGACTGATTGGATTCTGGGAAGTTTGAGGGGTGGGGAGCATCGTTTACGGCCAAAGGAAAGCATGAAATGCCTGATGTGTGTACGTATGTGTGATCATTTATCACAGCTCAGAGGATGGAGAGGTCCCAACTGTGACCACAGCCCAGGAGGATGGTGACACTGCATTTGTTTAGACTCCAGGCTGGTGGAACAGTTTACTGTTACACATTCCTCCAACTATTCCATCTGCAATGCTGTAAAATAAGTTTTTAATTGGTAAAGAAAATATATTTTGACCAAATATTTCCCTGGCCAGTTCATGAAGCATGTGGGAGATAAGTTGGGTGTTGGAAAAAAAGTAGGTTGGACGCAAAGTAATTGAGTGGGCTGTCAAAGTGTAGGCAAGCAAGGCATTTGGTGC